GCGCTGTTAGTAATTTTTACTCTGTATTTCATTATTATATTTAAAGGACATAACCTAATCACCCATCTTCTTCCTTCTTTTGTAACATATACGACCGGAAAAGGAGAGTCAATAAAACGACAACAAAGGAAATGTGCACATAATAATGTTACTCCACTACACACCAATATAATTAACCATGTCTAGGGATTAAACGCGCTCTTTGTAAACCAAGCATAAAAATTAGAAAGGTCTATTTAATTACACACTTGCGTACTGTTTTAAAATTACAATAACTTTTGTTTAATTGTGTGTCTTATGTATTTTTTGATAAAGTAGACTGGATAATTTTGAGGATATTTGACTCTTATCTTTGAACACTTCCAAATTAAGTGAAGTACTTATATTTTATGTCACGCTAAAAGTACATAAATAGATAATAGTCATTAATGGTAAAGGGTTATAGAAAAAATATGTGAATGGGGCTAATTAAGGTGTAGCTGAATGTCAATAGAAACATTGACAATGCTATTTCCCTTCATACAAATACTTGTGCTATAGTTCATTTGAGGGATGGGGGATCCAATTGGAAAAGATTTGTTCATTAGAGGAAGGATTAAGCTATGTGTACCCCATTATTTATACTCCAATTTGTACTCCGCAGGTTTGCACCAATATTTTATGTTGGTGTAAAACTAATTTTTGTTAACACACCAACACTTTGTGTCTGTGTAAATTTTTGTTAACGCACCAACACTTATGTCCGTGTAAACCATCAAAATATTTGTGCATAACTGTGGTGTACAAATGAGGTACATTTTGTGGTGTAAGTGTAGCATGGTCTTTAGAGGAATCCAATTACGATTGAGTTTTGTATTCTCTAGTTTCAATAAGTTCTTTCCCTTTTGAGTTTTAGTCAAAATAAAGAAAGTATATTAATGGTTTATTTTTCAATTTTGTTTGTGATGTAATGAGTAAAAGTAAGATGTGATAAATTATTAGTGAAAAAATGGTTAAGTTACCTAGAGGGACTCTAGGACTGCTTTATTAAGATTGTAAATATAAATGTCAATAGTTAGGATCAGCCTTGCGGATTTGATATCTGATGGTCGCGGGTTAAAACGTACGTACGGGATCCAAAAATTGTCGTTCTGAAGGGGATAGGGGTACCACCCACCCAGCGGAGAACTCATTCGTTGGTCATCAGGTTGTGTTGTGTCATAAGATATTAAATAAGGTAGACTTGAGTCATGGCCGTAGATAGTGGCTCTAAGTCTGAACATAAGGTTGTAAATAACGAAGTATGGTTTTAGCTTGAAACTTAAGTTATGAGCTAAAGGCAAAGAGGAGATAAGATAATGATTTGTGACTTGTGAATTTATTTAATGACTGTTATGTGATATTATATTATATACTTGTATGCATAATATTGTATGAAGTTATGAGCTAGTGAGTTCGTCTATGTACGTAGTCGAAACGTTAGATATTTCTCACTTAGTTTCAATGCTGAGTGTATAGCCCTTTTTCCTATTTGCTACACGTAGGTAATATGAATGATGAATAAGGAAATAATCAGAAGGACAGCGAGGACAAGAAGATGGATGCTGGCTGGAGGAGTTGTTTTGTTTAATAATTTAGTTTGAATTAGTTATGTTTTTAAGGGCAAGAACTGAAAGATGTATTTTGGATTAAATATTTAAAGCTTCCGCACCGTTTTGTTAACTCCGATGAATGTTTTAAATAAAGTTTTGGATTAAATGTCTTAAATTGTTTTGAAAATTATTATGTCTGAATGCCAATTTAGTAGCAACCCGGTTTGCTAACTTGTTGGTTCGGGTTACGCGGATTGGGGTGTTACAAGATATCAAAGCGCATTTTATTTCGGCCAAAGCTCAATAATAATTTATTTTAATAAAAAAAATTTGATTAATTGAATAATTATTCATTAATAATTCTAGGGTATGTTTTGGGGTATTACATGAATATTATCAAATGAGCTGAGACATCTATACCTCTATTTATACTAATCACCAACACCAAGATTCTATAAAAGTCTCCACAAGGTTTCATAAATTTTTAGAAGAATCTAAAGACTTAACATAGTTCTAAAATATTCTAGAGGATTATTCTATATTCCACTACACACTTGTAGAGAAAACTTTAGATTATTCTAGAAATTTCAATACTCTTCTACAAAATTTTAGAGACTTTTATATTTCTTTAGAAAATTTCATGATATTCTAGAGAACTCTACACATCTCTACCAACTTTTAGAATTTGAATATTTCCTCTCACAACCCTTTAGAAATATTGAATTAATACCCTAACAAATACTTATATACGGTGTACTCATTTTTATAATCTTAAAGTTAACATTTATTTAAGGAAAAATTATCTTAAATAATTCTATACTTTCACTCTTTTCCAAAAATAATCCTGCTTTCATAGGAAATAATCCTACCTTTCTGCATGTGTGCGAGTTCTGGTTCGCCGTTAAGAAGCTAATGGTTACTTATTCAAAATTTTGGAAAATGCTTGTTTTTCACAGATAAATGAAAGGTGAGATTATTTTAGGTAAATTCACTTTTTTCATATTAAAAATTTAAATTTAAAATGTATGTTTTAAAAAATACAGAGTATAATAGTATCCTATTGCTACAGATTTGTCTCAATTTTTTTTTAAATATAACGATTTACAAATTTTGTATTCTGATTTGAGATAAATATAATAATGGATTATCGAAAAAATAATTTAGAGTACCACTCGAGAAAAAAATTGCAATAAAAAAGTTGTAGTGAGTCATAAAATATTTAGTACCATTTTGGAAGAAAAAAATTATTGTATCATTTTTACAACTTTTTGAATTATTATTTTACGAAAAAAATTATACTTAATTACTGAAAAAATCACAAGGTTTTAGTGTCATTTTGAAATACATAATAGGAGAAATAATTCATTATCGATAAACATTTCGTAGTATCGTTATAACACAGTCATGGAGAAATAGAAACACTCATCAAATTAAACAAAATATTTCTCCAATTCTCGTATTTTTTGGTTCTTCTTAAAACGCTCGTGGAAAATTAAAGTCTACTCATTTTTTTACCTTTCATTTTTTTTACTCGATTTCTATTTCTTTCATTAGCCAATAGCCGCCAATAGCCAATCATAGCCTGAGAGCTTTACTGCGTCTGGAATTTTAAGTTTGAGCGTCTTTTGTATAAAGCTATATATTTTACAATCGCACTTAGTTATCACAGACGTCGAAATGTCCGAGTGGTTAAGGAGACAGACTCGAAATCTGTTGGGCTTTGCCTGCGCAGGTTCGAATCCTGCTGTCGACGTTTTTTTCACAATTCTTTGGGCCCTTTTAAAGGGCAATTTAGCAACTCCAGGTTAGTCTAAAATTTAAAACCAAAATGTTTTTTTAGCTTCTAATTTTTTTTTATTTCTACTCCAACCATGATATTTCTATCGTACACTTTTAAAATTTCTTTCGTTGCTAATTTTGAAAAAATCAATTATCAATAGCAAAAATTATTGCGAATCTTTTTCAATTCATAAATCAAAAGCAGAAACCAAAAAAAGAATGAAGTCTATTATTTAAACTACTAGTAGGAGATAAAAATTTAAAATTTAGGCTTTGTTTGGGTAGAGCGTTTTCAATTAGTGTTAGCGTTTTAGATAAAATATTAGCGGTGTAGATGTTAAAGGAAAGAGAATATTTGGTAGAATATTTGGAGATATTTGTGTATATATTGTTTTGGTAGTTTTCCTTGTGTAGGGATTCTTTCCTTTTCCTTTTCCTTTACTTATTAGGAGTCTCAACTTGTGAGATCCTATATATGTCCTCATTGTAAATTGTAAAGACAAGAGAGAAATACAGAGAATTTCCTCCCAAATAATTCTTTCATGGTATCAGAGCCTAAACCCTAGAAATATTCTGCGACTACTGTTCACGATCGCCCGGCATGGCGTCCATCGATCGTTGCTCAGTTTTAGTCGGTTGTTGCTGTTTCCGGAGAACGGAACGGTCGACCGTTGCTCTAGAACGGTCGAGCACGTCGACCGTCCCGTCGGCAGACTGTTTGATTGATGCTGCTGTTGATTCTTC